CCAGGGACTTATATTGAGACCAGGCTGGCTTGCTATATAACCTACATTGGCTTTAAGCTCGATATTCCCGTACCCGCTAGTCCAGTGCTTGGATGATAGGCATGTGCCACATCAGGCTACCTAATTCTGCTTTATGTTGTACCCTGAACATCCTATATCATACCATGTTGGCCCACCATGTCCTTTCTGGAATCTAGCTGGGAAATTGGACAGATCATATTAAGGCAGATATACTATAGCATATGGAGGTTAGAATTTCTTTTTGAAAATATTTTATTTTTATTTTATGTGTATGAGTGTATTACCTGCATGTATATGAGTGCACCCATGTCATGCAATGCTGCGGAGGTCAGAAGAGGGCTTCCGATTCCTCTGCAACTGGAGTTAAGGACGGTTCGTAGCCACCATGTGGGTGCTGAGAATTGAACCCAGATCCTCTGCAAGAGCAGTCAGTGCTTTTAACCACTGAGCCATCTCTCCAGCCCCGAGGTTAGAATTTCTTAGACTACTGGACTCATAATTCAATATCCTTCATTTTAACCATGCTGAGGGCAGGAAAGGAGGCTTCTTGGCTTCTATTGTCGTCCAAGGCATAGTTCAGTAGGCACTCGGATTGTTTCAGTATCATCTGCACCCATGCCTTGAGGAGATATCCATCCTGTGCTCGATTTTCTACTTCTATTCTTCTCACACTTTGAGTAAAAAAGCTACTTTGGGCTTCTTTTGCAGTTCTTCAGCTGCGGAATCCCCATTTCCACCCCACACCTTCTGATCCCACCCCACTGCCACCACATTATCCAAGCACAGTGAACATTATTCAAGCACAGTGAGCTTACCAGGGGGCCATAATGACTAGACTCCCATTTTTGGAACAAAATGATGTTTTTAAAAACACCCCCAAAATGTGTTTTAGTAACACATATTTCAACAAGTAAAAGTGTTTGGAGGGTGAAAAGGTTAGAAGTTTTATCTACCTATGGAAGTCCGTTTGAAAGGAAAATGATATCTGAGTCAGTTAAAGGACGCCTAGGACTCCAAGAGGCGTCTGTGGATTAGGGAGTGTCCTTCACCCTTTACATGCACCGAGGTCTCCTGAAGGCTCCTTAGAACACACTCTGCTCCCCCTGACTTCCAAACTTTGATTCAGGATGCCTAAGAATTTGCATTCTTAACAATTTCACAGGTGATGCTGGGGCTGTAAGCACATGGACCTCATTTTGACTCACTGAACTAGAGTATTACAGGCAGAGAGAGAATAGCATGAGAAAAACAAAGCTCAGTTTTGCAGGGTAGAGGAGAGTCACTTAGAAAAATACACTGGATCTGGCTAGGAAGATCCACAGCATGTACTTCCCTGCTTAAACAACTGCGTTTTTATCTAGAAGAGCCGAGTTTGGGAAGATTATACTGACTACAGCTTTTTCTTGATTAGCTTGACTGCAGAAACAACTACAGGTCGGTGAAAGGGTCCAGATGGCATCAGAAAATAAGGAGAATGCAGAAAACCTGACAAAGAATGTGGAGCCACTGTAGGGCCTGGAAGACACAGTTAGCACAGGAGAGGGGCAGGAGATGGCTGGGAAGGCTCAGCCACTCTCAGAGCACCATGCACTGCTGCAGTTCTTTCTTCTCTTCTTTTAAAAACTTTGCTTGCCGTGCAATACCTTTTACAGTATTTCCCATCACATGTGACAGGCATGCAAGGAATCTCTGTCTAGCCATATTGTAGTCACTGTTGGGACCAACTCAGTCAGAGCCACGTAGTTATGGAATGAAAAGGGAAGAGCTGGTGTGAGATGTGGTATTATGACTTCGTTTGAGGATTTATTACCGGAAGTTCAGGACCCAAGTGAATACTCCAAATATATGCAAATTATGCAAAGGAGGTGGTATGGTACACACTTTTTAATCCCAGCACTCGGGAAGCAGAGGCAGGTGGATCACTGTGAGATCGAGACCAGCCTGGCCTACATAGTGAGTTCCAGGCTAGCTGGGGCTGCAGGGAGACCTTGTCTCAAAAAGACCAAATAAAAAGGAAGTAAAAAGGTCAAACAAGGCATCATCTGCCCCAAAGCAACAGCTGAAGCCTGGAGCATGCGAGTCATGTAGAGATGAAAGCAAAGGCCTGTGCAGACCTCCGAGGGACCCATCAGCTCAGTAGAAAGAACAATCAACCCTTGGTACCACACATAAGCATTACAGAGTTTACAGAGGAACCTGAGTAACTCAAGCACTTTCCTTCACTTGAAACCGCTTCACTGAGGAGTAATTTACACATCATCCACTGTCAGCACGTAGGTCCTTGATGTTTAGTAAATGAATACAGTCATACAAACGCAGTCCGTTGTAGATCACTTCCATTTTGAACCACTTCAAATTGATACCAGTGAGATAAAATTAGAAAGACTTATTAGCAAAAATGACAAGTGTAATAAATAGAAGGAAAAAGCTGCTGTTGTTTTAAAATGTTAACCTTTGGGAATAAAACAAACACTCCCGGTAAAAATTATCTGCAAAGACTAAAAGTCATTTTTATTTTAAAGATTATTTATTTATATGTGTGTTTGTCTGTGCGCATATGTGTACATGCATGAGGGTGCCCATGGAGGATAGAAGAGGGCATTGGACTCCTTGCAGCTGGAGTTACAGGCAGTTGTGAACCACTCTGCATCAGTGCTGGGAACTGAACTCTGGTCCTCTAAAAGAACAGCAAGTGCTCTTAACCACCAAACCATCTCTCCAGTCCCCCACCCCTTTTTAAAAAACATTGTGCTATAATGTATGCACGGGTTATTAATTGTAATACTGTTTATATTAGCAGAGGATTAGAAACAACATTCATCAGCTGAAGCTAGTTAGGTAAATTGTAACATCTCTGCTTTGAAAAAAATCCCGTTACTGAAAAAGCAAATCTGCCCTTTAAGCACTTGTGAGGAATGATCTCCAGTGTATGTGGGGTCAAAGAGAGTATGAAGTAGAATGCATATTCTCACTTGCTCTGTGATTTCATAAAGAAACAATAGAGCACTGCATAAGCAGCTAGTCAAAGTGCTGACTGAATCAGGTGGGTGGGGAAAAGAACAAATCAAGATGGAGGAAGCTGGTCCTCACCAGATGCTGTTACAGGGGTCCCATTCTCACCCAGACTGAAGGAATTCAGTCAAGAGATACAGGCAGTTTAACCATCTATTTAGCAGAGCAAAGAATGCATTCCAAAGAGATTGGCCTTGGCCTGGGCTGTTCCGCAGGAGGTGGCAGCACAGTGGGCTCTGAGCTGCAAATAAAAAAATTTTTTGGATTTATTTTTATGTTATGTGTACAAGTGTTTTGCCTGCATGTACGCCTGTGCACCTGTGTCATGCAATGTCCACAGCCTCTAGAAGAGAGCATCAGCATCCCTGGAACTGGAGTTACAGTGTATTGGGAACTGAACCCAGGTCCTCTATAAGAACAGGCAGTGCCTTAACTGCTGAGCCATCTTTCCAACCCCCCTGAATTGTAAATTTGAAAGAAGGTTTTACGAATATATGAAACAGGTGGGAAATTCAGGCAGAGTGACACTTTTTCACTCCCAAATCATGAACCCCATCTCCCTTTCAGGATATTTCTTCCCATATCTTATATAGAAGCCCACAAAGGGTTATAACAAGGCAAATGACTTAGAATGAAGCCATGGTCTTTTGAGGATGTAGACCCTTTTGTGGGAAAATGCCCTGTTACTCTCCTTTCTTACGTATCAGAAACCTGTCAGCAGCCCCAAACTGTTTAACCACAAAGGGGAATCTGACCACGAAGAGACTCACTGGGCTCCCAAGGTGCAGCCGCAGTTCCCTTGGTTATCTCAAATCTAGCTTGGCAATGCTCAAGGTCCCATGACTGAGCTTAGACTAGTTGTCAGTTAAGACATTCTGTCGTTTTTAAAGTTGAGCCTTAGCTGGTTATGGTAGCACATGCCTTTAATCCCAGCACTCTGGAGACAAAGGTAGGTGGGGATCAATGCCAGCCTGGTTTACATAGCGAGTTTTAGGCCAGCTGAGGCTACAGGGAGACTGTTAGAAAAATAAAACAAAATAAAAAAACGAAGTGAAGGCTTTCTAGTGAAAGCTAAGGCCAGGGCTTTACAACAGGAATGGGGCTTTAGAACATTCTCACAGTGCCATTACTCACTTCTCTTGGACCTCACGACTGCTTTGTATTGCTATGTTTTCTACCATATGAGTATGCTGTCTACTTATTGATCGTGTTGGTGGGAATAAAATGGCCTCTCTATTCCATAGATTTGGCTGGAAAAACAGAACTGGAACAATGTCAAGTGGATGCTGTTGTGGACACCCTGGATGATTTCATGTCACTTTTTCCATGGGCGGAGAAAAAGCAAGATGTGAAAGTAATGTCATCAGTTTGTTATCACTACCGTTAGCCACATACTGCTGCCAGAATGTGCATTAGTTATTTTGATCTAGGTAATATAAATGTGTACTTTTAACATCAAGCTATACTAAAGTATACAGCAGAGTAATTTCCTGCCCTACCTCTTTATGCTAACCTCCCCAGATCTGGTATTTAATCCTTTTGATCTTTTGATGTTTCCTGAGGATTTTCACATTTTTTTTCTCCTTGCTTCTTCCTTTCCTCCCTCCTTCCACTCACCCCTACACGCAATGCCTCACATGTAGCCTTGGTTGACCTTTAACTACCAATCCTCCTACCTCAGTCTCCTGAGTGCTGAGACTGCAGGTGTGTGCCACCATATTTCTATAGAATATATAAATATGATCTTGATTTAATAATTTTAGACCATCTTTATAGACTTCTTATGGGATCAGTAAGAATCAATCTTTCTTTCTCCCTTCCTTTTTTTTCTTTCTTTTTTCTGGACATGGTTTCATGTAGCCCAAACTGGCCTCTAACTCAGAATCTAGCTAAGGATGACCTTGAACTCCTGATCTTCCTCCCTCCGCTTCCCAAGTGCTAGTATTACAGGTATGTGTTGCCACTCTTGGTTCAGAATTTATCTCTTACCTTGTCATCTCGCCTTCCCTTTCCCTAGACTCTCAACATGGTGATATTATTCTGTAATTACATTAGCGTGTTTATACAAATAATGTAACTGTGCATTGTAGTGTATTTCAATGACATCCCTTTCTCACTTTTCCTCCTGAAAGTTGTGACTGCCCTTTTCCTTTTGCCTAATTCTTTTCACATTTTCTCTGGACCTTTCCACACAATCCATCAGTCTTCCCAATAGGATTTCCCATGAGATGGTAGCAGAGGACCTTCTACTTTAGACGTCATCTTGGCTTTAGCTCTTTGTGGAGCTCTCTGGTCAGGAGGCTTCTTTGCCTTGCGTTCTCTGGGGTTTCTGAATCGCCATCATGATCTTCCATTTACTACCATCCCAGCAATGCCTTTCCTCTAGGGGTCCTGCTTCGTGGATGCTGTCCTCTTTGTGTGTTCCACTGTCTATTTTGAACACGTCCTCTAGTATTTCAAAGGTGAAACTGAAGGCTTGCTGACAGGAGCAGGTATGATGGTGACAAGATGTGTGAACTTGTCCATCTTGTGAGTCACACTGCTTCTGTCTGTCTGGTTGCTCTACACACTTGGTGTACAACTTGCTGAGCATTTTGAGATCTTTATTATCATCCTGAATGTTTCTTCAGGTCTTTTCCTGGGATTAATCTCCTGTTTGAGGATAGTTTGTTGATTCTGAATGTCACTATGCCATCTGGGGTCCTTCCCAGTATCTCTATCTTCCAATGTCACCTCTTGCCCTGCAAAGAGTTCAAGAGAGAAGACTGTGGCCTCCTACCTGGAGTTAAAGGCCTGGCTGTGCTCTAGACAGTGCAAAGAGAAGCCTGGTAGCCTCAGGGTGTACTGTCCGGCATGTGTACGTTCACCTAATTCTCACACTTTTAATGCATTATGCATGGCACCCCCTCTTCCAGAAACAACTTCTTTCAGCCTCTCTCTAGCCCCTGTAGAAAATGGGGAAGGGGTTCTGTCCATCAGCCTGAAATGAAGGAGGAAGTCTCATGTTAAAATTGTTTCTTCAACAGTCCCCCATCAGTGGCAGCTCCTTCCCTATCCCCTTATGTGAACCCTGACTACATCCTGCCATTTTCCAAGCCACACAAAAGCCAAGTATTTATAGACTGTGCACAGGTTCTTCCCAGCTGTCCTTCGCAGGTGCTGCTCACTCACCTTTACAGCCTCAAGCTCTGTAGCTCTCGCCTGCTCTGCTCTCTTCCTCTTCCAGGTAGGTTCCATCTTCTTAAAAATAGCCGTCAATATGGATTTGGGATGTAAATAAACCTATGTGTATGCATCAAATCCATTACCATCACCCAGAGTTCTCGGTATTCTTTACCCCAGCCATCTTCTGGCCTCCTTTAGGATACTTGTCACAATCTCTTTGTAAAATGTTTTTGTCATTTCAGTAGGAAGTGTCACAAGGACAGGAATCATGCTTTATTATTCAAAGGATGCAGCCTCACACTATCACAGTGCCCTCTAGTGGCACATTAACCACTCACTGAAAAGAGTGCTGGGATCTCTGCTTACCGGGTCCCAAGGCAACAAGTCGCTGGCTGCTCTCACTCCCCACTGTTACACTAAGATGCCCCATTCTCCCGTGAGAGAAGTGTATTTTGTTGCCATGTTAAAAGACACTGAGAGAAAGGTGTGCAGAGCCACAAGTGAAAGAACTGTGATCGGACCCCGCTGGGCTTAGTTCCAGGACTCGGTTGGTCACCGCTACAACCGCGAAACTAGGAATAACTCCTCTCCTGCTGCAACGTTTCAGGTGGAAACGGTGCTTGTTTTCCACACGATACTGATCCTCAAGTGTATAAACACCTTGACTAAAGATATTTAGATAGGAAGTGGCAAGCAAGGAACGCAACCGTGGTTATTATTCTCAGACCCCACACTCCTAACTTGAAAGTGCCAGTAGCTGCTGACAGCTCTGTGAACAAACAGCGAGCGTATCAGCCTACCGAAGCACACCCATTCTGATTTGAGTAGAGATACCTGGACATAAAAGCATGTATATAGGGGCCAGAGAGATGACTCAGTGGTTAAAAGCACTAGCTGCTCTTTTTTTAATTTTTAAATTTTTAAAATTTTTGGTCTTTTGGGGACAGGGTCTCCCTGTAGCCCCAGCTAGCCTGGAACTCACTTATGTAGACCAGGTTGGCCTTGAACTCACAAGAGACCCACCTGCCTCTGCCTCTGCCTCCCAAGTGATGGTATTATAGGCATGTGCCACCACAGCTGGCTAAAAGCACTGGCTGTTCTTACAGAGGACTCAAGTTTGGTTCCTAGCACCCACATGATGGCTAACAACCATCGTCCATAACTCCAGTTCCAAGGGATTCAATGCCTGGCCTCTGTGGGCACTTCATGCACATGACATACCTACATACACACAGGTAAAACATTCACACATATAAAAAATTTTTTAAATATTTATATATATGTAAGGCAAATAGGGGATATAAACACATGCATGTGCATGTGCATACTCACACACATAGCCAGGACAAAGCTTAAAATTTAATAATAAAAACACAACAAGCTATTTTGACATATTAGGCTTTAGTCATACAACAGGCTTGAATCCTGATTGGCTTCTTGCTAGCTGTCTCTTAACTCACTTCTCATAGTTGAAATGCCCTATTAAGTATAGATATAATAGATTCTCCCTTGAAGTATGTTGGGTAGATTAAATGGTAATGTATGTATATATGGCTAGATACAAAGTGTCCAATAAGTATTAGCTATTATAACTAGTGTTACACATTTCAATGTTAATTTTTCCTTATATTTGTCAGATACCACATTTATCTATTATGTTTCCCTATAAATGTACAGAAAAATACATCATACCCCCCAATTTAGAAAGAAAATGTGTAAAAATTTTTGTTCAGAGTGCAGAAGACCTGTTAGGCTATCTCCTTCTCAGCTTGCTTCCTCTCCCCTATCCCCTATTTTTTTGTCTTCTTGTGGCTGACGGTCCATAACAGAGGGCTCCTCCCAGAGGAAAATATTATTTGGTGGTTTGTAAGAATAACACTCCAGCTTTATTACAGAGTTTCAATGCTCTTACATACCACTTACCTCACAAACAATTTCGCAGGACATGGCAGCAATCCAGGTTCATGAACAAATTACACAAAAGAGCACATTGCAGAACCTCTGTCAATAGTTACAGCCTATGTCATCAAAAAACAGGACCTGCCCGGTACACAAGGAAAAAGGCAGTGAGTGCCACAGCTAGGCTGTCTCCGCAGTGGGCCTGTTGCTGCCACCTTGTGGCGGTATTTCCTAAATCAAAATACTGACGCAGTTAAGATGGGCAGTAAAACGCTCTCTTTCCTGGTGAGCATGTTGAGGCGCAGTCTTCCCACCTAGCCCAAGCTGGGTTGAATTTGCAGTCCTCCAGCCTCGCCCTCCTGAATGCTGGAATTATAAGTGTGGGCCACTACACAAGGCTTATTGAAATATCCTATGTGCTCGGAGAAATCCACAATACAGTAAGGGCTGTTGATTCTGCATTTGTTGCTAAATTTCCATTTCCAGTTTTAAGAGATTAAATGAAAATTTTAATCTGAAAATTGGTCACTGGGGTGATCCCTGAGCTTACCATATGTACTCTTTTAGCTTATGCAATGTGGGAAGCGAGCAGGACTGAGGGAATTCTGATGGCTCAGTTTTAACACTAAAAGATGGTGTAGATAGTGGAGATAGCTAAAAGAGTGCAGATTTAAAATATTGCTAACTAGATGAGCCTTCCTATAGCCCCCAAAACTCATAGCAGTAACTCTCAGGTGTGAAGCCTGCTCACAACTTCTAAAAGAGAAATCAAGAAACTTTTGAGTCCATTAAGTATATGGGTGGCCACCTAGAATTTATCAGGAGACATTTGTTTTTTAATATACATCTGGAGCTGGGGATATATAGGTAGTGATGGAGTCCTTATATGAAATGCATAAGGCCTTACATACAACCTCCAGCCACACACACACACACACACACACACACACACACACACACACGCGGACTTGAAGATGTGGAAATGTCCATTAGAACATAAAGCACCCAGGCTTTGGAAATCTACACAGCAGTCTCATCCTGCCCACTCAGGCTAGATTTATGTTGTTCATATCCAATTCAAATTAGCCAAAAACATTTTACGTCAGGAACAATAAAACAATGTTTTATTTTTTTGAGACAGAGTCTTGCTATGTCCCCCAGAACAGTCCTCAGCCTCCTGAGGAGCTGGGTTTACAGTTTGTACTATCATATCCAGCAAGCACAAACTTTTTAGTAAGAGGCTGTGAATAAATTACTTGAACTTCAGAGACCCAAGTAAAACATGAGAATTTTTTTTTTCTTTGTTTTTTGAGACACAGTCTCCCTGTAGCCCCATCTGGCCTAGAACTCCCTATGTAGACCAGGCTGACGTGAACTCACAGAGATATGCCTGCCTCTGCCTCCCAAGTGCAGGGATTAAAAGTATGCACTACTACACACCCTGTGAGAAATTTTGTTTAGAAAGTGGGAAGGGGAGGAAAATATGTGCTGTATAGAGTCTTACATGGATCTCCCTTTCTAGGGCTATTATTTGGTTATACTAATTTACATAACATATCAAAAGGGGTGCATGGTGTGTTTTGGAGAAGATATCCAAGGCAGACAAAGCTCATGTTAAGGCACAAGGGTAGGCTAAGGAGAGTAAATCTGTTAGGTCCCAAGGTGTTTACCATGGCTTATTTATGTCCATCAGGTTCAACAATGATGGAAAGAATTGCAAACTGGCAGTCTAACCCTACAGAATACAACAAATTGGTTTTCTTGCAGTTAAATCACTGGGTCTTTTTGTTAAAGATGGAAATTCTCCAAATCTAAAAACATAACACAGCTGGGCCAGCCTTGTCTACATAGCAATTTCCAAGCCAGCTGGGGCTTCAAGGTGATCCTGTCTCAAAATGACATTTAAAAAAATAATGGGCTGGGCATAGTGGCACATGCCTTTGACCCCAGCACTTGGGAGGCAGAGGCAGGTGGATTTCTGTGAGTTCAAGGCCAGCCTGGTCTACATAGTGAGTTCCAGGACAGCTGGGGATACAGGGAGACCCTGTCTCAAAAAGACCAAAAAATAAATAAATAATGGAAGCTGGGTGTGATGGGGCATACCTTTAATCCCAGGCAGAGGCAGGAGGATCTCTGCGAGTTGGAGGCCAGTCTGGTCTACATAGCTTGTTTCAGGCCAGCTAGGGCTACAAGGAGATCCTGTCTCAAAAATACCAAAATAATAATAATAATAATGGAATCATTTTTCATTAATAAATTAAGAGGGGCTGGAGAGATGGCTTAGCGGTTAAGCGCACTGGCTGCTCTTGCAGAGGACCCAGGTTCAATTCCCAGTACCCACATGGTGGCTAACAACCTTCTGTAACTCCAGGTCCAGGGGATTGATGCCCTCTTCTAACCTCCATGGACATGGCACAAAACAGGTGTACCTACCTACATGCAGGCATACATTTAAAATAAAAATAAATATTTAAAAATTTAAAAAAATAGTAATAAATTAAGAGGGCTGGCCATGGTGGTGCTATGGGGAGACCTTGTCTCAAAACAAAAACAAAAGCAAAACAAAACAACAATAATAAATTAAGATGGGGACTGGAGAGATGGCTCAGCACTTAAGAGAACTGGCTGCTTTTGCAGAGGACCCACGTTCAGTTCCCAGCACCAATATGGTGGCTAACAACCATCTGTAACTCCAGTTCCAGGGGATCTGACACCCTCTTTCGACTTCTGTGGCATTGCATGAAATGGGTGTACTTACATACACCATGTCAGGTAATACACTCGTATACAGAATAATAAAAATAATCTAAGAAAGATGAAAAATCATAGAGGTGTCTCAAGAGACTAAAAACAAAAAAAACAGGCCTACCATAGTATTCAGTGATAGTATTCAGTCCTGAGTATTCATCCAAAGGACTCCACAGTGACAGATTAGACATACCTGCACTATTCACAACAGTTTGGTGATAAAACCTACCTAGCTATCTAACAACAGAGGACTAGATCCACAAACAACAAGGTTTTTGCTTGAAAACAGATCATGGAAACAATCATGTGAAGCGGATTGCACCAGTGTCAGACAGTATCATGTTTTCTCTCATCTGTGCTTCCCAGGTCTCATACAGACACATACAATAACATGGCATCAAACTGCTAGGAAAGAAAGGGGACTAATGGGGGAAAGGAAGGAGAGGGAGGCAATATGGGCTGAGAATATTCTCTTTCTCTCTCTCTCTCTCTCTCTCTCTCTCTCTCTTTTATTTGTGACATGGTTTCCCTGTAGCCTTTGTTGGCCTGGAACTCACTATATAGACCAGGCTGACCTCAATCTCACATAGATGTGCCTGCCTCTGCCTCCCCAGTGCTTGGATTAAAGGCCTGTGAAATGCTTGAACCTCCAGGATTTCTTAGAGAAACTATAAAAATTGGTGACAAAAATATTTATTTTAAAAATCTAATAGTATTCATGAGATGGCTCAGCAGGTAAAAGGCACTTACAACTAAGCCTAATAACCCATGTTGATTTCCAGGACCCTCATAGAAGGATCATAACTGTGAGAAAGCAGAATACACTGTGACTTTTATTCCTTAGTATTCACAATTTCCTTATTTTTCTTTAGTATTCACAAAGATATTTCCCCTCTCATAGGGCCAGATGTTCATGGAGCTGCTCACACATCACGCACCTCATCTTCTGCAGGATTTGGACACGTATTTAGGCGATAAAGATTGGTTTATTGGTAATTATGTGAGTATGATTTATATGCTTAAATACCAGCAATTCTATTTAAATAACACGAGGAATTAAAACTTTACTGAAGAAAAATATCACTGTAGTCAGACATGGTGATGCATGCCAGTCATCCTAACACTTGAGAGGCTGCATGGTAGGTTTGAGGCCAATGAGACCCTGTTTCAGAAAACAAATGAGAAAGAAAAGAGAGAGGCAAGAGGCAGAGAGAGAGAGACAGAGACAGAGAGACAGAGACTACTAAGAGAGCCCACAGCTGCTAATAGTACTACTGAAAATGTCATGTGATTTGTGGTTGTGTGAGATTTCTGTCTTGCATCACCAGATTATAGCATCTTGCAGATGATGGTATTTCTTGAAATCATTTTTTTTATTATTATTAAGAGTTCAATATGGGCCAGGCATAGTGGCACATGCCTTTAATCCCAGCACTTGGGAGGCAGAGGCTGGTGGATCTCTGTGACTTCAAGGCCAGCCTGGTCTACACAGAGTTCCAGATCAGCTGGGGCTACAGGGAGAGCCTGTCTCAATATAAGGGAGCTGGAGAGATGGCTCAGCGGTTAAGAACAGCAGTGGCTGCTCTTGTGGACTGTGGTCGTCGGCTGTGGCTGCTCTCCTCTGGCTATGGCCACTCTCCTGCTCTCTTAGTTCCTCCGATCAGTCATCCGGTCTGGACCCCAGGGCTGGTGAGGAGACTGTGTCAGCAGAGCCGCATTCAGACACAGGAGACCAGGTTCAGTGACACAGATCTGGTTTATTGCAGGAAGGCACAAGCTTATATAGGGGTAGTGGTCCAATCACAGTACAGTAAGTGGTTTAAAGATGAGGTATCCAAGGGTGGCACACAGCACAGTAAGTAGTTTAAAGGTGAGGTATCAAAGGGTGGTGATTAGGGAGTGGCGAGCTCTAGGCATCAGTCTCATGATCTGCCAATGGGACCAAAATGTCACAAGACATTCCTTGTGGCTCCAGCAGTCAGGCTGTTGCCTCAGGCCTGCTGTATGGCTGTCAATAAAACTTTCACCCTAGGCTCAAGCCTGTCTCCCACATCTCCCCCCCCTTTTTTAATTTTATTTTTAAAGGTGAGGTATAATTTAGAATACATAGCATATTGATATCAGTCCAGATACATTAAGGCAAAGTACAATGGCTCAGGGGGTCACTGAATCAAGAGCCCTCTCCCTCAAAATGGAAAGCTTTCTTAAGAGCAGGTTGTGCCAACTCCATGCCAACCAGTGGAGATTCTTTGCCTCAGCATTGTTGTCCCCACCTCAAGGGTCACCCAGCATTATGAACTGTGCCTGTCTTAGGTTATCCCATTTCTCAGGATCTTACCTGTCATTGACTACCAGCCCTCGAAGGGTGAGGCCCTTGGTATGGTCCGGCAGAGGGAGAGGCAGTATACCAAGCTCTGGCCTGTGCAAAGGCCTCTTAAGGGGCTAAGAATTCAATAAAAGCTGATGAAGCGGGGTCGTCCCATCTGGGGTAATGATGGGGATTAGGGAGTGGCAATTTCTAGGCATCAGTCTCAAAATTGCCATGTCCTACTAGAGCATCAATTCCAGTGTTTTGGATGTTGGCATTTCTATTGTACTCTACCTGTTGTTCACATTCATCTTGGTAAGCTGCTTTCCATAAAAGGAAATCGCTTCCCCTAAGCAGGCATGGGTGATATTTTGCCAATCATAGAGGGTACTGGCCGAATGACTAATTGTATCTAATAACCGACCAAACCAGGGGGAGTGAATACCATCCTCAACTGCTGCCTTACGCAGCTTCCTTACGGTATCGTGAGAATATGGATTCCAGACATTAGGGTTCTGTTGTTCCTGATTGACAGTAAGTAGAAAAACTGTAGAAAATCTCCCATTGTATCATAGAATAGGGGCGTAGGTGGGACAGGCTTCCAGTCCTCCTCCGGAAGGGAGGGGTAGGTGGACTGAAGGGGAACTTCCTTAAAGCTAGTGCAAGATGGTGGAAAGTAGCCATTGCCCTGTAATGGCGGAGCAGAGGCTGCCCTAACTTCCTGTTTTCCATCAAAGCTAATACAAGATGGTGGAGGGTAGCCACCACCCTGTAATGGCAGGGCAGATGCGATCTTGACTTTCTGTTTTTCATCAGGGGAGCTCTCAAACCCCAATTCCTCATTTTTTATAGCATCATTAGCAGTCATAGGGGAACTCTCAAACCCCAATTCCTTATTTTTTATAGCATCACTAACAGTCATAGTTTTATCAGAACAAGAATCCATTAGTTTTGTTTTAAGTGGAAATGCCTGGGACAGGCCATCCCCAGCATCCTGTTGTTGTATTTGCTCATCTGTCTCCTTAAATAGGGGATTGTCCTGTTTAGGGGCTTCAGGGGAAATCCCCTGAAGGGAGGCCAGAATGGCTGTCACAATGGGGTAGAACAGCCCAGACTGTGGGCATCCCTCCCTGACTTCTCTACGCCGGGCCAAGAATAAAATGCAAGCCCATTGTTCAGGATCCCAGCAACAAGTATCTGCAACCCAGGGGGCAAGAGCTAGTACTTCATCTAAAACCTTAGTTACATCCTTTTCTGTTACCCTAATTTGCCTATTCCTGAGGAGAGAAACCAGTGCAGCACCACAGGGGCTGGCAGCAGCTGGATGACTCTTCCCCATACCGGAGGTCACTCACCCTCCAAGACGTACCCAAAGGGACTTAGGAACCGTTCAGGAAGACGATCAGTGGAGACAGGAACGACACACTACAGCTCCGTGCAGCAGGAGGCTTCATGCCCCACGTTGGGCACCAGTTGTGGTCGTCAAGTGGCTGCTCTCCTCCAGTTATGGCCACTCTCCTGCTCTCTTAGTTCCCCTGATCAGTCGTCTGGTCCAGACCCCAGGGCTGGTGAGGAGACTGTGTCAGTGGAGCCGCATTCAGACACAGGAGACCAAGGTTCAATGATGCAGATCTGGTTTATTGCAGGAAGGCACAAGCTTATATAGGGGTAGTGGTCCAATCACAGCACAGCAAGTAGTTTAAAGGTGAGGTATTCAAGGGTGGTGCACAGTACAGTTAAGTAGTTTAAAGGTGAGATATCCAAGGGTGGTGCACAGTACAGTAAGTAGTTTAAAGGTGAGGTATCCAAGGGTGGTGATTAGGGAATGGTGAGCTCTAGGCATCAGTCTCATGATCTGCCAATGGGAGCAAAATGTCACAAGGCATTCCTTGTGGCTCCAGCAGTCAGGCCATTGCCTCAGGCCTGCTGTATGGCTGTCAGTAAGACTTTCACCCTAGGCTCAAGCCTGTCTCCCACAGTGGAGGGCCTGGATTTTGTTCCCAGCATCTACATGGTAGCTGTCTATAACTTCAGTTCCAGGTCTGATACCCTCTTCCAGCTTCCAAGGGCATTGCATGCACATGGCATATTTATATATATTCAGGCAAAACACTCACACACATAAAAAATTTTAACAGTACAATATAGCTAGGCATGGTAGTACTTTAGTCCCAGCACTTGGGAGGCAGAGGCAGACGGATGTCTGTGAATTCAAGGCCAGCCTGGTCTACATAATGAGTTCCGGGCCAGCTGGGGGGTTGAAGGAGACCCTGTCTCAAAAAGACCAAAATTAATAAATGAATAAAAATTAGGGAGCTAACACAGTCAGTGTTTGCTATGCAAGCATGGAGACCCAAGTTCAATCCCTAGAACCCATGTGAAAAGTTCAGAGATTACAGTAGAGAGGAAAGAAACCACAAAACTTCTTTAAACTAACTTCACAGATTTGACTTGGAGTCATGAAGTATTTCATATAATTATTTACAATAATTTTAAAAGGCTATCCTAAAAAATCAAAAGAAAGTGAACAAATGTGTCATGCATAAAGTACATAACGGAAACATACTGCATTCTTGTATGTGTGTGTGCGTGCATCTGTTGCATATGAGGTTGGGTCCATACATGTGTGTATACATGTGGAGGTCAGAAGTCAACCTCAGGTATTGTTCCTCAGGTACCATCCACTTTGTTTTGTTTGAGACAGGGTCTCCCTGTAGCCACAGCCGCCCTGGAACTCATTATGTAGACCAGGCTGGCTGCAATCTGACAGAGATTCACCTCCTTCTGCCTCCTGAGTGCTGGGATTAAAAATGTGTGTCACCATGCCTGGCCACCTTGCTTTTTGGGACAGGGTCTCTTACTGGCCTGGAACTCACCAATTAGGCTAGACTGAATTAGACTGGTGAGCCCCAAGGATCCTCCTGTCTGTGCCTCCCCAGCACTGGGATTATAAGCACAAGCTACCACACCTTTTTCTACATGGGTTCCAAGGATTGAACTTAGGTCTTCATGCTTACACAGCAAGCATTTCACCAACTGAGCTATCTCCCTAACCCCTATATTGTACTGTTAACAATGAAAAACTATTTCAAGAAATACCATCACCTTCAAGGTATTGTAATCTGGTTGTACAGCTCAAAACAGAAATCTGAGAACACCCATAGATCACATGCCATTTTCAGGAGTATCATTAGCAGCTATGGACACTGTTGGTATTGTTTTGCTGGTATGATTTGTACGATGTGAATGCAGAAATCAGAAATCACCTTGAGGTTATTAAGAACCCAGATTTTTACTGTGGGAGAAAAGGAGACAGAGAAAAACCTGGTCATCCTGAGCATCCCTTATACCCTGATTCTAGTCTCTTAAATATTTTTTTTATTTATTATTTTTATTTTATATGTATGAGTGTATTGCCTGCATGTATGTGAGTGCACCCGTGTCGTGCAATGCATGGAAGTCAGAAGAGGGCATCAGATTCCCCTGGAACTGGAGTTAAGGACAGTTTGTAGCCCCCAAGTGGGTGAGGGGAATCAAACCCGGGTCCTCTGCAAGAGCAATCAGTGCTCTTAACCGCTGAGCCATCTCTCCAGCCCCGATTCTAGTCTCTTAAATACTGAAAGGAACCAGGCTTCCTGGACAAATGACTTATTCTCAACTTGAGATGAGAAATGTAATAAATACTTGGCCAAACTAGAAGCAAATACATTAGCAAAGCAAATGGAGTTTGCATCAGAAGGACTCCAAAATAAGCTTGAAGGCTTCCCATTCACCGGGGATGGGAAAATCCAGGCTTCAAAAAGAATATTAATAATAGTGAATTCAAACAAATCAAAATGAAAAGAGTTTATGACAACCTCCTTACAACCAAATATACAACACAAACTCCCAACAAACAAAACTCCATTGCTTACTTTAGAAGACAGGACCATTAACATTCTAAAAACTCTTAAAAACAAGCAAAAATGCAGAAGGTTTGAAATAAAGCATCTGTCCTGCCTTGCCTATGCAAATTGTGCTTCAAGGTAATAAAAATTCATTAGATAAAATTTCTTTTCAGAATAGGATTCTAGGTAATAAACAGAAAGGCCTGAAATAAAGCACTGTCACTTTCCAATCCTTCAAAAATCAAGAGGCCTACCCAATGACCATGAGACAGTGCTAATATCACAGAAAATGACAGTCAGTCTCAAAGGCTGGCTTCTGGTGTAGGAAGGAGCACACCCTACTTACTGGCAGACTTGCCACCAATCAGATCTAACTGACCTCAGTGAGCCACTGCATGTGGAAGACAGGACATAGGGTGTTGTCTGTGGATCAAGTGACACTCTGATCAGTCTGCCTTGTTTTGTCTGTTGGGTGAAAGAGAAATAAAATTAACCATATCTACAGCTTTCCATCACACCACACACCCTTATTCTCACTTAGCCTTTCCAAACACTCCTCTCCCTTCCCTGTCTTCTCAGTGTGACTAAAGCCTAATTTTCTTTTCTGATAAAATCCCTGTGTAAACTACCTCTAGTTCCTTCTCTGAGCACTCTGTTCGTCACAGTGCTGGAAACCAGACATAAGTCACACTCCCAGTAAGACTCCACACTTGATGTTTCCTCTGCTCAGAATCACTGTGTCTGGATCCTTTTTCGTCATTCAACCCTTGATTTAAACATGCCACCTCTTAGAGGGCTTCCCTGAATCACCTGTCTCTTTGTATTTGACTGTTCTTTTATAAAATAAAACCCCAAGACGGGCTGGAAAGATGGCTCAGTGGTTAAGAACACTTGCTGCTCTTCCAGAGGACCCATGCTTGGTTCCCAGCACTCATATGGCAGCTCACAACCATCTGTAACTTTAGTTCCAGTGGATCAGACACCCTCTTCTGGTCTCCTTGGGCACCAGGCATGCATATGGTACACTTCTCTACATGCAGGCAAACAAACACTTATGCACATTAAAAAGAAAGAAAAAAAACCTAAAATCCACCTCAGACTGGGAATGTGGCCTAGTGGCATTTGAAAAGCTCTGGAATTAATTCACACACTGCAAATAAACTAAATCAATCGATCAATCCACATCAGAGAAGGGGATCCCAGCTTGCTTTCTGGTCCACCCCTAACACCTAGATGTAGGTATGATAGATAGGAGGTGCTTGATGAGTATTTCTTAGCTGAACTGTAAATTCTCTAAGCAGTGATGTCTCTTAGGTGACATGTGTTTACTAAATTTGTGAAACACCAGCAACCATCTCTATTAAATTATACACATACAAACATGCCCACATTTGAACTTCACTCTAGAGCTGGGCTTGGTGTCACACACGTTTGATCCCAGCACTTGGGAGGCTGAAGCAGGAGGGTCACAAGTTCTAGGCCAGCCTGGTGTTCTCAGTGAGTTCCAGGAAAACCTGAACTATAATGTGAGACTATCTCTCAACAATAAAAGTAAAAAAGTAAATAAGGGGCTGGAGAGATGGCTAGGCAACTAAGAGCACTTGCTGCTCTTGCAGAAGATCTGTTTGGATCCTAGCACCCACAAGGTGGCTAACAAACATCTCACACTCTAGTTCCAGGGGATTCAATGCCCTCTTCTAGCCTCCACAGGCACTGCACAACATGGGTGCACTTACATATATACAGGCAACCACTCAAGACACATAAAAATCAATCAATAAAAAAAATTGTAAGTATGTGACTATGGCTCCAAAGTAATGCCCTGCAGGTCAAGCTCTAGTCAGAAAGGAAGAACACCCAGCTGAGCACAGGAAAGACCAAGACCATGCTGCCCTCCCTTCCCCTGGGGCTCGACCTCAGCATTCCATTAAGGACCAGATACCCATTTAGCAATTTTTCCTGATGGGATGCAATACAATGTATTTTACCACAGAATACTGTACCTGGAACTACAAACCCTGAAGAAATAACTTGTACCCTATTTTTTTTTTAACCTGAAAACATAAAGGAGCTGGGCGTGGTGGCTCACACCTTTAATCCCAGCACTCAGGAGGCAGAGGCAGGTGGA